TGTGTAGCCGGCACCTCTTCTCCTCCCTGGCTACTGCGGCCTCAAGGCTTTGGCACTTGTGTTCCATCTGTCTGGAACATCCTACTCCAGGTGTGTGCACGGTTCACTCCAGCACACCTTCAGGTCTTCAATCAGACTCGACTACCTGCAACACTACCAGACCACGAAAACTGCAAACCAGACACCACTGTGGCCGTCTCTGTCCCCTTTCTCAGATTTTTCTCCATAGCACTTCTCTCCTCTGGTATGCTGTATGTTTTCCTTACTAATTTGGCTGATTCTACCAGAAAGCTCCAGTTAGTGGGAATTTTTGCCTTGTTCACTGCTGTGTCTTCTGCACCTGGAACAGGGCTCAGGACATAGCAGGGCCTCCATAAATATTTACTAAATCAGCTGTTTCCCTGAGTATACTATGCATATTCACTCCAACGGCATTTACAGGTCCCATTCCTCTGCTTAGGAACACTTTTTTTCCCTCCTGTCTTCCTAGAAAGCTGCTACTACCATGCCGTGCCCAGCTTAAATATCTTTTCTTCAAAGAAGTCTGATTTTCAATTTTCTCCCACCCATCCCTCTCTTTCCAGCACCCCAAACCCAGCACTCTTCCCTATCCTAAGGCATTGCTGAGCTTCCTGGGAGCAGAAACTGCCTCGCTCATTTCTATACCCACTCCGTGCTGAACACACAGCAGGCCGCAATATCCACCTGCTGAAGTAAATGAATGGTAAACCTGAGTAAGTGACTGCTCTATGAGGTAACTAATATTATTCTCTACTAATAATACTGCATGGAAAAAAAACAGCAGCTTTAAAAATGTTCTGTAGGTATCGAAGTTTCAGGTTTGTTTATTCACTGCTTATGCACTCATATCGAAAATCTTTTGGGAATGGCTGAGATGCAAAGAAACAAACTTTATAATAATTCAGGCCTTCCAAGGACTAGCAAACAGGTAACTTTCAGATATTTTTAAACACAGTAGTGTCAAAATTAAGGAAAAAAATTTTATAGACTTCTACATTTCAAATTAGAATACATGTAGGCATAAATATACACATAGAAAATAATTAGCTTTCAAAAGAAAATGTAAATAAAACAGGTATGAATCAGTCCTTTTTCCACATGCTACAGCAATATGTATTCTCATATGCAGTTACAAGTAGGTGGATTTTTGAAGATCATGATTCTGTCATGTTATTCCATTTAAAGTTGGTGTTTATAGTGGGAAAAAAGTCTCAGAAAAACTATCCAAATGACAAAGCTCACAATTTGTGGAAATACATCTAATTACTATTTTATTAGGTTCGGTACACATTTCAAGAACTAACAGCTTTTAGGATATAAAAAGAAATACCAAACGCAGACAATTCCCAAAGGATGCTCTGATCAAATCCAGATCCTATGTAACGAACAATAATGATCACCAAATTTCAAAAGATTAGAATACAGAGATGCCCAGCTTTACATTTATGTGTATGCACTTGTTCTTTAAGAATTCCATTGTTTTGAACTTCCAATTTATGGAAGACTGGTAAGTTCTCAGGGCAGACCAGAAGACGCACACGTTGATCGGGAGGCACAGGCCAACTGGGCTGTGGCACTGCCTGCAACATCACAACGGGCCTCGCCTGGTGTCTTTCTTATCAATCGAATGGAGGAAAGGGGTGCTGTATGCTGGGCTTGTAGGCCCAATAAATTAGTGCAATAACCAAGACACTTCTATTTAACACCAGGGCCACTATTCTAGGGCTTCATAAAAGGACATTAGCACCCTTTCTTCAGACAGGATGTGTGGCACGGCCACGGAGCACTAATTATCATTCAAGACTACCTTGGGCACAGAAGTTAATTTACTCAGCACAGAGGGATTCCGGTTGCACAGGAAACACAAGCCCTTCAGGTATGGTGGCAGTAAGGATCGCACTTCACTTAAAACAGGTGTTTCAGAAACAGACTCTGCCTATAGTTTCTATTCCTTTCCCAAGAGCACGGAATTTAATTTTAAACATCCCCAATGAGAAGCTGGCTTGTCAACACGTGCAGTTTGGAAACAGCATGATGTGCTAGTAGTTCCACAAGGGTTTGCCGAGGCAGTTCCAGGCCCTGGTTCTGCATCCTGATTCTGCCAAAGGCTTTAAATGGGAGGAAGATGAGGATATAAGGTTCCCTAATCCTGGAGAGGGGCAAGGAGCTGGTGGGCATATCATTGCCCTGAGGCTCATCCTCAGGTTTTTTGGAAACCTCTCCGAGGGAGGTAACAGACCTAAGCGTGGTCCACGTGCGTCTGCCAATGACAGAAAATGGAAAGGGATGGGTGAGTAACAATTGGCCTCACACTTGGATGTGTACCCATCCCTTTCACTAACCCCAGTGGCTCTTATCTTTGCCAAGGCTAGGCATGTTAAAAAGCAGTGGGGTCTCCAAATGGGGTGTGCTTTTCTCTAAAATAAAAATGGCAGGAAAGGTTTTTTGTTTGTTTTTTGTTTTGAGATGGAGTCTCACTCTACCACCCAGGCGGGAGTGCAGTGCTGCAATCTTGGCTCACTGCAACCTCTGCCTCTAGGTTCAGGCCATTCTCATGTCTCAGCCTCCTGAGTAGCTGAGATTACAGGTGCAAGCCACTGCACCCAGCTGGAAGTTTCTTTAGGAGGGTCTTTCCTGTTTTCTAACATATTTGGTTTCTAAACTGAGCAGTGCGTCTAGTCCACACAGTCACTGGACATTCCTTCTCTCATCTATCACCTTTGTCATCTCCTACTACAATTTCCTCTGCCTTCTGGCCTGCTCCTCCTCCTTCCCCTCACATCCTTTCCTCCTCACCCCAGCTGCTCTGGCAGCTCACCTTCCTGAGCCTGGCTCTGCCAGAGGCCCCAGCCCAAGGCCTGGTCTAAGGAAAACTGCCTGCTCCCTGCCCTGCCAGCCCCACCCCCAGTGTAGGAGTCCAGCAGGGGCTGCCTGAGGGACCGCACTGGGCAGCATTTCCTTTCCCTCTATCCCACCTCAAGGCCATGGGGCACTCCTTCCCCCTCCCCCAAGTCCTTCCTGTTTCCCAGGCCAAGTCCATCCAGGACACTCAACTGCCGGGGGTCAGAGTGCCACATTCCAGTGGCTTCACACCACCACTGGGAGGGCTCTGGATTCCTGCGTGGGGGGTAGGGGCGGGGGCGAGGGCAAGGGCAAGGGCAAGGCGGCAGGCAGGGAGGCTGGCAGGGAAAAGTTCAGCAGAGGCTTGATCCAGCCCACTGTCCTCTGTATTCTGGGACAAAGTCATGGGGCAGGAAGAGCAGCAGGGGGTCCCAGGAGTTCCCTCCATAGTGGGCAAGGGAAAGCTCCTCGACCTCTTCAGGTTAGGCAGGAAAAAGTGGCCATAGCTGCAGACATAGTGGAAATTTTTTCAAAAATAAGAGAACATAACAAATTTTTATGGGTCTCAATCCCTTAATCTGTAAAATTAGGCTGGTCTAAAGGTGCTTTGCTGAGGAAACTTCCAATGCCACAATTCTGATTCCTGGTATGGCAACAGTCCTCTGACCGCTGTCATTTTCAAAGTCTGAGGTCTTTTTGGCTAACAAATAGCCACATAACACTTTCATTCAGAGGGCAAACCAAACTTCAACCTCCCTAAATTCTCCCGTTGCAATACTGGATTTCTTTGCCTTGCAGACTCAGTGTCTCCCAAACTTTATGTCCTTCTTTTGATTTCTTTGTCCTGTAGGTTTTAACTTTGTAGAGCCCTGGGTTCAAACCCACAGGATCTGGCCTCTCAAGGGCTTCCAACTCCTTCTGCTTGCAGGCTCCCAAGGCTGATGAAATTAAGCTCCAGGATGTGCATACTATTAAAGTCACCCTCTAGAGCTTAGGGCTGCAGCATGATGGGACTGAATAACTCTGACCCCATGTGGACCCAAGAGGAGCAGCTCAGAGTACCATGACATAGTGTGCAGTGCCAAATCCCTCCAACACAACAGTACCGCTCCACTGGAACTCAAAAAAGGAAGCTGGCAACGAATAAATAGCATAAACAGGTGAATAGGCAGACTTCAGCTTGGTCTCGTGCGGGAGAATGGGGAGCAGGATAACATGGCTGGACCGGCACTCTGAGGACAGGAGTACCTGACTGATGGGTGTAGACACTGGAACAGAAGGAAAGGGAAAATGGTGCTGGGGAGTCTGGGAAGGAGTCAATGAAGAGGACCCCACTTAGGGCTGCCATTCATGCATTAGAGTCACTAGAAGCATTGTAGTTAGGTTCTGCCTCTGTAAGACAGTCCATGGAGAAAGTATCCCTGGAGTGGTCAAAGTCTATCAACTGTACTTCAACTAAATGTCAACTAAATGTCTACATTCCTCCTGTACACACATTTTCTTTTTTAAACCAAACTATTGTTTTTAATAAATCTTTATGGTTAAGTTTGATCATACAGTAAATCTATGGGTAAGATGATTAATAAGATCCCACAAAAAGATATCCTGATATAGATTCATCTCATTCTAAGCAATTGCTTTTCTTAAAAAAAGAAATAGAATCCCTGACCAATTATGACCTCCTTCCTCTCAAGCACTCATTTACTAAGACCCAACACTAGTGAGAGGATATGTTTTCTGGAATTAACTAGAGTTTGAACCCTAAGTGCTTACTACCCTTCATTAAAAACCAGTTCAGTGCTCTGCTCAGAAGACTGCACATTACCTCCATGTGCTGCTCTTCTTATACTTTGAGCAGCCTGCACTGTTGTCAGGAATGAAATTAAAGTGCCTGATTTTTGTACCCCAGCAGAGTGTGGAACTACAGCAGAAGCAAACCAGATGACCCATAAATCAGATGTCCTGTGACAGCTCTTCCTTTTATGAAGATCAGATTTTAAATGGATCACTTCAATTTGAGAGAAACATGAGAAAGAAGGAAAGCATTTGTATACTCTCCTATTCTTTTTTTAATAAAATGATGAGTTCTTCAAACTACCTGCATGATTTTGCCACACAAGAATCACAGTGTACCCATTTGCACTGAAATAAATTTATTTCATTTTAAGTTGAATACAAGGCAAGAATTTCATAGTTACAAAAAAAAATCTGGAACACAGAGACCTAAAAGAAAGAAAAGGAAAGAAAAGTTATTACAATTTATACAATGGACAACAGAAATGTTTCCTTAAAAACAAGAGAAGCTGTTTTGTTTGAATGAGTATGTATGTTAGTTAAAAGCTCTACATTTCTCCATAAGAAGGATTTTTACTGTTGCTATCCTGTTACAGATTTTGTTTTTAAAATCAATAAATATTTTTAGAATGAGAAGCAGCACTTACAAAATGCTGGTAACAGGACTTCAGGTTCATGTTCTTATAACCTTTGTAGATATGATCACTTTTTAAAAACTGTTTTCTGCACATATTAATCTCTAGCTTGACGTCTTTTGTTAACCAAAAAGACAGACTTTGAAAATGACTGGAGTCAGAGGACTGTCGCCACATCAGGAACGGTCCAATCTCTGCATCACAATCTCTTATCTCCAGGATAGCAGTCCCCACCAAGCAAACAGAAGGACGTATACCCTTTAAGTCTTTGCCATATTAAACAGCATCAGCATAAACTTTTAAATTAACTTTTTTAACTTAAAAAAAAAAAAAAAGGCTTACCTCCTGTTAGCACTGTGAGCTTCATCCAGAGTATGGCCCAGGCACCTTAAAATGAGTGGTGGCACTCCTTCCCCTTCTGTTGCATCTGGACCATTTGGGGGACCATTTGTTCCTCTTAGAGATGGGCAGTAATGCCAAGAGCAGCCTCAAATTCAATACCCCACAGCTAGGGAGAAACACATTAGGTGGCGCATGCCTAGGAAGAAAATCATGAGCAAAACTTCCTCACAAGCACCTATCAATGTGCTATAATGTGAAGAAAAATATCCCATCAATTACACATTGATTTAAAATACATTTACTGAACACCTGCTAACTTACACAGTGCTGTGCTAGACACTGAGTAGACTATGCAGAAGCCCAGTAGGCTATTCAATTACAGAGCATCTATCTACCCTCTACCCATCTATTGCCTTAAAAGCAAACTAAGTTACAATGCAGAGTAAGCCCCTAACTATAGAAAGGGCAAAGTCTCGTTAATAATGACCACCACACATTTTGGAGTCTGAAATATCCCAGTAACAATACTTTTTGGAAACAAATCACCTGATGGCTTTGTCCTTTCACCTCCAGAGCCAGTAAATATTAGTGCAACACCTGATAGACTGAGTTTGTTAAGTATGATTAACAAATCGCAGGCACCCAATTATCAACATAGAATTTTGAACATTCTTCTCCCCTGGCAGCAGCTAGGGAGTAAATGTCTTCATGCCTATGATGCCTTATTGCAACCAAATACTACTTTTATTTTATGGTAAGAGAGGAGGAAATCACTTGCCCATCTCTGAGTATTACACTTACTCAACAAAGCATTAAAGCGTATGCGCTATGTATAAACCATAGTGTTATACATATGGTTAGATGTTGAGGTACAAAGATACAATGGTAATGTACATTTACTGTGTGCTTCCTGTATATAAGCCACTATTTAAGAGTTTTACATGAATGAATGAAGTATTCCTCATAGCCACCCAAAATAAATGGATACTACTCTTATTCCCATTTTACAGATGGAAACCATGAACAGAGGTTGGGGAGCTTTGGCCAGGGTAACACATCATGCACGTCGCCAGGCTGGACTATGCACTGGCTTCCAAGTCTGAACTCCCACTAGTGCACAAGTTTGTCTCTCATTAATAAAATATGGTTTCTTCTTATGGAATTTATCCTTTAAATTTCTCGAGGAAGTCATTTCAACTGGGCAGGTTTTCTTGAGACTGTATCCCTAACACTCCTTGGCAAGTGGATGCAACATGTGCTAGTCATATAGGTGGGTAAAATGCCCCAAGACTGGGGTGACTAATCCTCTAAGGAGGAAGCAACAGGGCCAAGAGGACAGAGCCAGCGCTGGAGTGAGACCAGTGCCACCAATGAGCTGTCATCAGCTGGCTGGACAGTGCCCCTGGCTCCAAAAAGCAGAGAACACTTGTGCGCAGGGCTGGGGGTTGACCAAGGGCAGCTGTCGGATGTGGGCCTTCCTGAATCCACATGGGGGGAGGCAAGGGAAAGGGATTCAGACCCAGCACAGAGGAAATCAGTGACCAACCCATGGAGAAACAAAAGACAGGGTTCAGGAACTGCTGCTCTGTCCGTCTCTCTACATTAAAGATAGTGATACACAGATAGATGGGGTCACAAACTCCCAAATCCCACAACTCCATCCCCAAATGCTATAAAGCTTGTAGTATTTACACACCCATCTTTTCCCAAGAAGTTTAGTGTACAACCCTCACAGCAGGTCAGGAAGTCAGGCATTTGAATACAAATACCAAAAGAAAGGGAAGAGAACTGCTATGGTTTGTGCAGCAAAGAATTCTGAGATACCCGCTAGAAGTGATCCAGACAATGAGCATTACCCCTTGGAAGCACCAACTCCAGAGGTAAAAGCATGAAGCAGCTATAATCAGATCCATCCATAAACAAATCCATCCAGCATTTACCCCTGGCAAGAACCTCCAAGTCTATGACCTCCCTCAAACTATATTTACACCTTCTCCCGCATTCTCATATCCTATCCCCATAGCCAGAAATAAACCCAGGGCTCTCAAAACCGAGCCTCTCCTCCTACCGCTAATGCGGGTTGGCTCAGCTCCAGGGCTCTGTAAGCAAGGAAATGCAGTCCAGAGACACTGTAGGAGCACTCACCTACTGTTTAAACATTCGCCTCACTCTGAAGTTTACACAGGTCATGGAGGCTTCACTGTCTACTGTAGAGCAAGAAAGACACAAATCCATTTCATTATAAATGAATTTAAACACTGATAATCACATTGGTAAGAAGCTTTTGGCAAAAAATAAAAACAAAAAACACTTGAAGCTTTGGGTAATAATAAAGATCAACTGACTAAAGAGGAACTATATAAAACTGGAGACAATCTATTAATTCCCACCTTGAAGTTTTAGAAATTGGTTATAAATAGGTGCTACAGGCCCTATGTTGGAGTGAAGCTAAGAAAAGTCTAGGCCCTCTCTCTCTTTCTAAACCTTTTTTCTAATAGGCGTCAGCTTGCCTTCCACCACCTCTTTATTCATCCTGGAGATACAATTTCAGCATACACATTTTGGTAGCGGTGGTTATGGTAGATGCCAAATATTTACTATTGTAGAACACAAATAACAAACTTCAAAATGTTTATTTTACATGCTTGCTGACTGTAGCAAATGTCATTATCCTATGATCTAACTAAAATTCTACAAATATGCAGGGTTAAACTGTTAAATTTGATGTGATTTCACTTTTTCAGTACAAAGTATGCTCCCTTAAGTCAATATGTTGGTCCAAAAAGTATTTTTGGAAGTGTAATAATGCATATTCATCACTTAGCCACACACTGTGGTTTAGAAAGTCTAAATAGGTACTCTTTCCAACTAAAAAGCAGTCAGGTTCAGTGTTTTCTGGACTATGCTGATTGAAAATATAATTAGTGTAAAATATATACCAAAGATTTATAATTCAGAAACAAAAATTTAATATTAAAGAGGTAATTGAAATGTTTGTCTTCCTTTTGCTAATTCAAAGAGCACTTATCATTCACATAAAATATACTTGAAGCCTGGTGATTTGATTTTGTACACTGTTTAGACAATTTGTTCTGAGGATCTGTATTTTTAAAGAAAGACTGCAGAAATTAATCTGAAATATTACAATGGATGCTATATACCTTCTGAATATGAAACCAGTATGAGTTGCACTGTATGAGTCAATAATAATAATACTACAAGAAAAAGTCTACTTTCCAGATAGAATTTCAACAAACTTAATCCTGACAATGATCTGAAGATTTTTTCAAATTTTATAGCTGCCTTGCTGGATAACGTCTAGGGCTCTGGTTTTAATTTATAAGATAGCAGAAGTGGAAAACTGCTTTAAATCCTTGGTAACAGCAGCATTATGGCATATGCAAAGCATAAAAGCTGTGAATTCATTTTGAAGTTAATATCTAGTCCCTATTTAGAACTTAATTATATCCATTTTTCATACTAAGTAAACATTTGCAATCCAATAATATGCTACAAAAAAAAAGCAACAGAATTAAAATGTCTCTACCTAGAGAGCCGGCTATTTTCACAAAACCTACAAATCGTTAGTTAAATTTACAAAGCTTCCACACTCTTAGAGTAGATACGGTTCTGCTGATACTAAGTTCATAAAACAAAAACATCCAAGAGCCACACCCCTCATGCCATGAGCCTAGGGATCAGATGCACAGGTAGTGAGTGGTCAGATGCTTAGTAAGAAGAGATGACACAATCACAGTTACCTGTCTGGAGCGCACCCATGCACTCAGGAAAATAAATTCCATTACGACTACATAGAATTTTCTCTTAAATACATTTTTTTTTCTTTCTTGCTTTTTAAGTAGTATGGAAAGGACGGGGGAAAGAAAATGAGGAGTAACACTGCAGTCAGTACAATCCAATTACTTGACAAATTATAATAATGAAGACAAGGTAGAAACATGGGACAATGCACTTGATATAATGTTAGCTGGATGACACAAGCTGTGGGGAGGAAAAACGAATGTCTATAGAGTTAAGGCTAGAGAGGGATATGTACAAAAAAATGGAACTACTTTTTGTGTTTGGAACAAAAGCATTTTGAATAGGTTTTTCTTCTATTTCCCAAACTGTCTAGTAAAGTTATGTTCCCTTTATAGCATATTATTTAAAAGATGGCAAGGGACCCAACATTTGGCCCCAGCACACATAGCTAATGATAGGAAATACATTCAAGAAATAAAACTAGCCAGGCGCGGTGGCTCACGCCTGTAACCCAGCACTTTGGGAGGCCGAGGCGGGTGGATCACGAGGTCAAGAGATCGAGACCATCCTGGTCAACATGGTGAAACCCTGTCTCTACTAAAAATACAAAACATTGGCTGGGCATGGTGGTGCATGCCTGTAATCCCAGCTACTCAGGAGGCTGAGGCAGGAGAATTGCCTGAACCCAGGAGGCGGAGATTGTGGTGAGCTGAGATCGCGCCATTGCAATCCAGCCTGGGTAACAAGAGCGAAACTCCATCTCAAAAAAAAAAAAAAAGAAATAAAACTACAAAGAGGGAATTTAGATAATACCTTTTTTGAGTGACCCCTTTAATAAGGGGCTTGGGTCTCCTTTTATAAGGCAAGGCCCCTGCCCTCATACAATAGCTAAGCTCCATAAATCTCTGGGCATGAAATGTTCTAAGGAATGTCTGCATCAATCCTTTTTCATAGTCTACCTTTCTTGACACACAGCATGGGTAGGACATCAGCTACTACAACCTAGTAAGTACCTTAGGAACTGCAGAAGAGATGACACAGGGAAAGACGCCCACAGCTTTACGTAAGCCACTTAGGAGACAAACTACCATGTTTTTTTTGTTTGTTTGTTTGTTTTTTGCTGTTGAAATTAACAGAACCTAACAGTTTCAGTTAGAAAAACACACTCCTGACACAGAAGAAGGGACATAATAGACTATCAAGAGCAACCTTTAGCAATGCACATGACCCTGTGAGCAACCTTTTTTGCACGTGTGCATGTTGTACACATGGATGTGCATGCACAAGTACGTGCACGCATCACATAATCTCCCACGTGTACATAGCTATCCAATGTAATGACGTTTTCTCACTGTGACAAAAGACTGACAGAGAATGCCTGCATTTCCATACATACAGGCTCAGGGATACCTTCCCACTGCCATCCCACCGGTCCACTGGTTCTGCCACTGATGGCTTCATTTCTACCTCTCAAAATGCCCCATCAGTCTGCTTTCTCTATCACAAATGTGACCTCTTCTTCCCAAGTGCCATCTTTGGATACAGCTACAGGCACGATAGGCCAGTCAAAGGCTGGTTCAAGCAACTGATTTCCCCAAATATCTCTGAGAGGTTCTTTTCAGGACTCAGGTTAACCCAGCTGTCTATCTCACTGAAAATGGTACTTGCTGGTTGCACTTCACACCCACTTCTCTGGTTCTCTCCTTCCAGGAAGTCTATTTTTCAACTACAAGAACTGTTTACTTTGGCTTACAAGCTGATGGGCACTCCCTCCTTCAAGAGTGTTTCCCAGTCCTCTGCCTTCATTCATGTACTTTACTAAAGTCTGAGGATAAGTGTGCCAGCAAGAACAGCTCTGGGTCCTTTATCTACGCCCTCGACTTAACTGTGGGATCACGAGTGTTGAGAAACACACACACTTCTCATTTTGGCAGCATTTGTCATCAACTCAAATACTCCTTCTGCTGATAAAGTCTTAGAGAAGGCAACCCTCAAAAGAGAACATACCTGCCTAGGAAGTCTGGGAATTGACTTTTAAGCTTTCAATAGTAATGAAGCCATATAAAAGTAATAAAAATGTTTTTAAAGAGTTACAGGAAAACCATCAGTGGACCCTCGAAAAACAACCTTGCTTAAATCTTCACTGTTCACTGCCACTGTTCATTATGGACAACCAGAGCTTTACAGCTATAACTTTACTCAGCCATCAGTTCCAGCTTCTCTCCTTCCCTTTCCTAAAAATTCTGCAACTGGTGATGATCATTAAAAGTATCTGAAGTAGGCTACTGGGAAAGCCACCAACCATACACTAACATTATCAAAATTTTCCATTGGGTATAAGATGAGCATCTTAAACTCCGAAAGCTGAAGGCACATCCTGCAGCAGAAAATTAAACCTGTCCTAAAAAAAAAATGGGCACATGGACTAAAGTGATAAAATGGCACAGGTACCTGAACTTATACCCAGGATAATTCTGTACACGTCTCTGACTCTATACACTTTATCTTGGCCAAGGCTCTCTATCTTTAGCAGTTGAAAAGCTTAGCGCCAAAGGTATCAAGGTTTTAATTTGCTATGTCTCCTTAGGTTTCTAATGCCTTATTCCATCCTAATTTGTAAACCTCCTTAAAACCTTTAGAAAAACAAATAAACAAAGAACTTATAACTAGTGCTATAGAAAAAACAATTCCACACTGAATGTGGAATTGCTAAATAACAAGTTGGGGCTCCAGCCACTAATCATCAAAAATTCCTGTCTCTGAAGTCATAGGGTTTAGAGTAAATCCAAATGGAATTTTGCTTTGCTAAACGCCTTAAAGTGCATTCCTATGGAATTCCTGCTGGAATCATTGTAAGGCATTTTAATTATTCACAGTCACACATTTCCACCCCTCAGGTTGTTGGCTTAGGATTTCCTTCCCCAAAGAAGCTGTACAATTAAAAATTCCTTAGGCTATCTGGAGATCACCTGAAGCAGTAAGCAGATTGCATCATACTGCACTTGGCACTCACAAACATCATTAGCTGCATGTTTGTTAACTAAACACCCTCCTGATTAATCAACATACATGTTTATTAAGACACAATCCTAGATTTGTTGGGACACCAGAAGTCTATTTTACCATCACCAAGTCATGATGATATGGTCATCTGAAGTGTGTTGATAAAGTAATTTATCATCTTTTATCAGTTATTGTTTACAAGCAGCTGATCACCACAGTATCTCAACTGTTCAGTGTACATCAGATCCCTGGCAGTCAAGAGAAGGTAACCAGCAACACCCACAAGGAAAATTCTTACAAGCTGATGAGGGGTTAGTGAATGAAAGATGACACCTTTATGACAAACTGACAAGAAGAAAAGTCCATCCAAATAAAAATTATCTTTAAATATTTATCAAAAGAAAAAAAATACAGCTGAAACTAACTCATCATGGAAACACACTACCAAAAATTCTAAGACTGACTGGCGTGAGCAAAGTTAACCAGTTTAACTTTCCTCCTGCCATGCTCAGGCTTCTCACTGGGCTTCTCTTACCGGGGAGTGCCATTCGTTTCAGTTTCCACAATGCAGACCAAACAGTTCGATGAAAAAGTTTTTGTATAATATCTTGGATGACCTTGAGTCTAGATTTAGTCAACAAATGCTCATTGAGTTCTTCCTGTGTGCCAAGCGTTAGAATAACACACAATCCTGGCACTCAAAGAGATCACAATGAGGCAGAGAGACAGAAATGTGAACTCTAACACAGTGTGAAAAGTGCTACAACAGGGGAAGGAGAAAGTGCTATTTATGGGCACTGGGGGATGGGAGATGGCATTACTTTTTCCTGGGCAGGGCAGGGCAGGGCAGGAAGGCTTCACAAAGCAAAGAACATAAAGCGGTAGGGCTTGAGGGATGCAAACACATTTTAAACGATGTGAAGACAACCATAGGGGAGTCTGAAACCCAACGCCACGCCCATTTTCCAGTTGCTGGCCTTACCCTCAAGTCTCTGGTTTCCCTAGATATTAAGAAGTACGTCTTGACCACATCTCCTAATTTTCTGAGTTCTCAAAGGGTTTTTGTCCAAGATAAACTGGAAATAAAGTTGGAAAACTCAAACTTTAGGGGCAATATGGTCAAGTCTTTAATTTAGGAGTCTAATTTTCCCTTACCTGTGGGCTTTTAGTAATAACATGCAGTTTACTAAGGCCCTATGGGAAGTTAAATGTTTATTACACTAAGATTAGAAGTAGAGGCGGAATAAATACGCATATGAAACATGTCCCATCTAAAGAAAAAAAAGTTCACTGGCCGGGCGCGGTGGCTCAAGTCTGTAATCCCAGCACTTTGGGAGGCCAAGGCGGGTGGATCACGAGGTCAAGAGATCAAGACCATCCTGGTCAACATGGTGAAACCCCGTCTCTACTAAAAATACAAAAAATTAGCCGGGCATGGTGGCGCATGCCTCTAGTCCCAGCTGCTCAGGAGGCTGAGGCAGGAGAATTGCCTGAACCCAGGAGGCGGAGGTTGCGGTGAGCCGAGATCGCGCCATTGCACTCCCCCCCGGGGAACAAAAACGAAAACCCCCTTCTAAAAAAAAAAAAAAAAAAAAAAAAAAAAAGTTCACTGTTCCTTCTTAACTAATAGTCATCCTTCATCCCTTCTCTCTCTTTTTAGCTCCTAGTATCTTCTACTTTTCCATTCTCTCAAGAAATATCATCACCCAAGCATTTCTGACTCAAGGGCATTCGCTTACATATTCACACACAATTTAAAAAATATAATACCTGGATTATTTTCAGTGCCAAACATAGCTGTAATTATGTATTTCTTTTGGACATGCTTTATGTTATTAAAGCATGCAAATACTTTATCTCCCTCAAGTTTTCCAGCCTTCAGTTGGCAGAAAGTCTTTTCTTTTTCCTTTCTCTTTCCAAAGCATCTAATACAATTTCCTGAATAGATAGTCAATAAACTTGGTTGCTGAGGGCTCACCTTTTCCCAGGGTAGTGTTTGAAAATAATTTCATCTACTGCCAACAAAAAAACACCTCTGGCTTCTTTTATTTTACTTATTTCCCTACAGAGGTCTTCCATTTCTCATTCTAAATTTCTGCTGTTTCTTTCTGCTGTCACATCTAAAGTTCCCGCAGAAGGTCAAAAACTGTTTAATGATGGCCTACTATTAAAAAAAAAATCCGTCCCAATCACCAAGAAATAAGTTAGCTCTACTTGTCCATCTATAGAGATCACAATTACCAGGGAGTTTAAAACCCAAAGCATCTTAATTAGAACTTTTTTCAAATGCAATAAGTAAAACAATGTGCAACCTTTATTAAGAAGTCATTTTCAGCTTGCTGATCTCCAGAGTAGACTACAGTCTACTTGCTTCAAGCTGGGGCACTGTTTCCAGCACATCCATAATATAATGCAAGGTATTCTTTGTCTGTGTTGTGCCTTCAGCAACTGAAGAAATATACATGCATGCACACCTTGCAATCAAAGGCACAAAGTTAACAACACATCGAAAGAAGGAATTAGCTTCCTGTCTCTCAAAGACTATTTCCACTCAGGGGTCCAGCTGCTGATGCTACACAAATAGTTTACTATCCTGGGTACATCTTTTTAGGCCAGCAAATCTATTACAACCTTGTACAGATCCTTGTACAAACTTTTACCACTTTCCTCACATTTGTCATCTTATCAAATGTTTCAATGTGGCAACATTTCTGACCGATATTACATGTAACATTTCATATGTTCCTATATGGCAAAAAGTTCCATGGAAATGTATGCAGGTCAAAAGCCCCCCTGCAAACACTGCTACAGAACTTTTTGCCGTTAGTGCAGACAGTGTGTTACTGGAAGGGATCCTCACAGAGGAATTGACTCATGCACCACCTTCTGTCAATGGCTGGGTTGACCAGTAGCTGGAAAGCTGTGTGTACCCATTCTTGATGGGAAGAACATCATGGAGGTGAATGAAAAGACTGCTGGAAAGCATCTTTCCAATGGCTTTCAAGACACTTGAGATCCAGTAGGCACTGGGCTGTGGCAGGGATTCACCAGAAGAAGAGGGTCAAACCACAGCACACAAATGTGGGCAAGTGGGGTCTCTAACTGACCTTCTAACACAGACCCTCACTACAGCAAACACACATGCATTCATACGCTGCTTTGTAGAGAATTGCTGGGACTCTGGCATGCAGATTCTCATTACTGCCCCAGAGATTTGAAAGTTCTTAAGCTAATATGCACCACCAACCCAGAAGAAAAGCAAAGACCTATTTATATACCAAAAGAAGAGTAAAGGAGATCCTATCTTGGGCAAAAGCTCAGGTTAGTAAATTACCACCATCCCATCCCAGAAACCTAGCCTGGAAGAGAGACGGTAAGATCCGGAACAGGATTTAACTTTTGATATTATCTTTTTAAAATGGAAAGAAAGAGCAAGTCATAGTACAATATAAAAGGTTTACCCAGTTATTAGTAAACTTTTAACAATGTCACACACAGATTAGAGTGAAAAAAAGATCTGGGGAAAAAAGCGAAATATTACAGAAAACTAAAAACTATGTAAGTTTACATAGCTAGGAATTGATGGCTTAGGTAATTGCACTGAAAGTGAGACTCATGGAAGAGAGCTATGCCTTAATTAGCCGCTGAGTTTTCTCATATCACATACTCCCAAATGGAGTATTTCACATTCACCAGACTTATTAATGAATAAATGCCCGGTGGGAATTAACTAGCACCTCATTCTGAAAGGCTGCTCTTGGCAAAAACGTAATAACCACAAGGCAAGCGAGGTGAATGGCCAATATACCGTACACTGGAGGCCGTGCTGGGCATCACATCCTTTAGAATAATGCCCATTACTATAAGTTTGAGAGTCACAGGTTCATACTGCCTAACCTTGCTCAATGCCCTGCTGCCGGACAACATGCAAAGGAAGGGTGAAGTTTCTGGACAACTTTCCGAGCTTCACGGTTGGCTAGTACTCGACACAAATTTAGTGAGTATCTGCTGTCTCATACAAGCAAAGAGCTTCCCAGTCAGTGGCTCAGCTGCACACAGAGGTGAGGGGGCTGGCACAGCGTACGGCATGTCCCTCCACAGGAATCATCCTTTCATCCTCTCAACGTGAGGCACGCACCAAACACGTTTGGCCGGTGACCCCCCCACCACCCCATACCACCTTTCGTGCACCATTCATTATTGCTATGTTTCTTTAAATTCAGTCTGCTCCTTAAGGAAACTCCCTGGCAAGTGAAAACAGCAGCAAAGGTAAAAGAATGTGGAAAATTTGGCTGCTGCCTGCGGTATTAGGAAGAACGGCAATTACTCAACTCTCTCCTAGTGTCAGACGCAGAAATGAGCAAGTGAATTTGGGCAAGTTTTGGCCTGTCTTTGCTCCAGCTTCTCCCTTTGCATTCTCTGTCACCTATATATATTAATATAATTAATGAAATACATAAGAAAATGGGAGAAAGAAAAGGCAGCAAAATCATGAGAGAGGCTTGAGTTCTACCCTGAATCCAGACTAGGCCACAGTTATTGTGACTTAAAGACTTCAGGCATTTAAAAGCTGTCACTAACTTTCCAATGCCATGCGTTGCCGTCTCCACTGCCGCTTGATAAACGTAACTATGGAGGAACTCTTGATCTTTTCCTCTAAGCCCTTCTGTCTACAGCACCTGGCAGTCATGCAGACAATATCACTTTCTCCTTCCCTGGCTCTGCAAACACAAGGTAATATCTGACTCCTATCTAGCACTTCTAGGTCATAAAAACATAGATCTTATGACAAGCAGGACCTTAAGATATCATCTGACTCAGTTCCCCTGTCTTCAGGTGGGTAACTATTTAATTCCCTTTTAACAAATTAAGGCAAAGTGAGGCCAAGGGGAGCTGTGGAGTTTAAGTCACTGAGCTATTAAGAGATAAAGGGGGATTTCAAAGCCACGGCTCTTTTTTCCTTTATCATGTCATCACACACAAGAATTCTGTAATACTCACCTTTCTGGGCAGCCTCAAACCCTTTCTCAAACAAGCTAAGATACACACAAATACAGTCACACTCTTGATTAAAATATGGAAATGTATTTGGTCTCTCATCTTTATGTCATAGGTAGTGGTAATAAATGTTCTTAAAATCTGCCTGTAATAGAGGCACTCGGGGTTTCTGAAAAGCATACAGCATACCCATTCTGTCTCCAACTGTTTAAAAATCCTTCTACTTTGACTTCCAGAGATAAAATTGTCTAAAATCCATCCCTTTTCCTCACTCAGACTGTAAAAGCCCATGCTTTTAAAAAAAAGCAAAGCTCCCAACTATGGGAAGTGAGAAAAGGTTTTCAAGATCTGTATTTGATAACATGATGGAATATTCTGTCTCTGCAGACTTATAAACAGACACACAAAGGGGTCCAAGCCTATGCACCTCACATTCCTCACATCATAAGGCCTGAAGTGGTCCAACTACTTCACAAAGTCTAGTTCAGGTCAAACATCCTCAAGGTAGCTTTGCCTTATTTTGGCAGGTCTTTCGCAGTCTTAAAAAGAGGTTATCACAAGTCTCCAACAGAAGATGCCTTTTGTTTAATCACAGCTGTGAAACGTTTTGCTGTGGCCTTTGGATAAGAAGCTAAATAAGTTACCTCTTGTAGACTGGGACTCTGCAGTCTCAGGTTTCATTCTGCCCTGCCAGAAATTCCTTTCTGTTTTGAATCTGAGATGTTTGTTCACGGTTTTTGTTTTGAAATGATAAATAAGACAGCCACAGTTTCTAGTTACAGCCTATAGACTACCATCTGCCCACTCTCCTTTTTCATTAACCTTTCTATAGGCAAGGTAGCTGGCTGCTGAAATTTCTAAGTAGTAAACTGTTCAAATTCTCTTCTCAGGAAGCTGAAATATAAAATGACAACACCCTACAATATAATTAACACTTGGTTTTCTTTCTTAAATATTCAGACTATCTCAGGATAGTCTGAATTAGGATGTTAATTTGACATCTTTCTCATTTTGTTTGTAGGTCACATGTCTGAATACCAGCACCCTTGATAAACGATAGAAGTGCTATAATGATAGGTACTGAAGGAGTTTCTGGAAAAAAATCCAATTTCTACTATGTGATAATAAGGTTTGATCATCAAGAAGAAAAAAAAAAAGTTGTAAACCATTGATTCCAAGGATTTCTCTTCATCAAGTTCTTTCTCCTTGTTCCACAACAGCCAATTTAAAACATCTGCCTTATGAATTCTCAGCCAGTATTTACTGCATAAAAATGATACTTATTTTCAGGCACAAAGAAACAGTCACAGTTAAGAATACACAGT